TAACTATGGCCGTCTGCCGTATGGTCGCCACTGGGGTCTTGACCTCTTCCTCTACTCCTTGCACGGAACGAATGCGCGTGTCGAGCCTTAGTAGATTGTCTTCGTCCAAAACCGGCGCCAAAGATGTTAGGCGACCGCTCCTGGGGAGGGGCTGCGAGCCCTGCAAGCACCTTATCTCGGCGGCAAAGCTTTTCATCTGTGACCGACGCAGCAGCAGCTTCTCTGCCAGTGCGATGTCAGCGGCGTGAAGGTGTGAGGAGGACGTGGAGCCAAGTGGTACATCTGCAACGAGAAAATTCAAATTTGAGCGATTGAGTCGATACAACTTGGAATAGAATTTGCGTAAGGCTTGGATAATGCGGGCGGTGGAGCGTAGAAGTCGCAGCCATTTGCTGAATCGCGACGCGTCGGGCAACGGAAATTCTAAAACAGTGGCATCCACGATTAGTCCCGCAAGTTCCGACCTCAGTTCGGAGTCTGGTGGGGCGTCACCTGTCTCTGGAAAAGCTAAAGTTCGCCACAGTTTTTAGGCTCTAATAAGAATGATGGTCCGGAAAACCACCGATGCGCTAAAGTTAACTCGCGTTTTTTAGGTTTTGTAGCGTCGTCAGCGACGTTGAGAGAGGTGGGGAGCCATCTCCAGTCGGACGGATTAGTAGTTTCCGCCAACACTCCCAGTCTGTGGGCCACAAAAGGTTTGAAATTTTCCAATCCATTTTAAAACGGTGGACGAATCCGTCCAGTAGATGGTGTCCGTTGGTTTAACGTAATGCGCGTCTACAATAGTACGCGCGAAGCGAGCAGCTATAAGCGCCGCCTGAAGCTCCAAACGAGGGATTGAGAGGGGCTTCAACGGAGCGACGCATGCTTTGCTCCCTATCAAACTCATGGAGACGGATCCCTCGCTTTACGTCACCCTCCATTAAGCTACACACGAGTATGCTTGTTCACCCCCGTCGGCAAATACGTGTAGTTGGGCATTGGTGAAGTCGTTTCTATGCATATACCACCGTGGGCCTCGTATTGCGGCAGTAACCTGTAACTGCTGAGACCAGTCTCTAAACTCTGTTTTTTATTTCTCTGGTAGAGGCGAGTCCCAGTCTTTGTATCAAAATTCGTCCCCATATCGTAACGGGCATGAGTAAACCGAGCGGATCGAAAACATTCATGACACTTTACAGTAGTATGCGCTTCGTAACTTTGTCGGATGGGGACACGGGAAAAAAACGAAAACTCAACCTATCGTGGAAGGGGTTCCATAAAACTCCTAAAACGCCTATTTCCTTATTAGAAGATAAAACGACTTCTGTATCGGAACCAGAGACATTATTCAACTCCTGAGGGATCTTAGAAAGGGCTTCGGGGTTGTTCGATATCCAGGAACGCATCACAAAACCACCGTGCCTATGGACCTTTACAATGTTAGCCGCTACGCTCGCAGCTTCAGGGACGCTTGAGAAACTTCCCAGGTAATCGTCCATATAATGGTCATATCTAACAGCCTTACAAGCGGATGGGTATGGAGACTCCAGATCCTTCGCGTTCTTGTTTTTCAAGTATTTTGCCATAAAGGGGCTGGAGACAGCACCGAAAATCATGGATGCCATACGATATTCGCAAATAGAGCCATTTTCGTCTCTCCACAAAAAACGTTGGGCGTCTCTGTCCTTGGGGGCGATTCGGACCTGAGGAAACATTTCTTTGATGTCTGCGCTAAGTGCCACGGGACCTTCCCTAAAACGAAACAAAATGCCAAGCAACGGCTGAAGAAGATCTGGGCCTTGTAGCAGAAGACTATTAAGGCTCACCCCTTGAGTACTCGCTGCCGCGTCGTGAACTGCTCTTAGTTTTCGTTTTTGAGGATGATAGACACCGAATATGGGGAGATACCGAATGGGGCCGCTTGAACCAACAACAGAATCACTAACTGGGATACGACTGTGGAAAGTAGTGGGGTCGCGTTTTTCAGCGTAGCCCTTACTTATTATGTCGTTTATAAAAAACTGAAACGCCGAGGCGAAGTTCGGGTCGCGAGTCATCTGTCGCTCCAAAGTTTTGAAACGGGATAACGCCTGCGAGTAACTGTCGGGAATTACCGCTTACAATTACATCTTCCGCCATGGCAAACCTACTTCAAAACGACCATCCTCAAGCCTGCGGACCGAAGATTCGATCATGTCTACGGCGCGCCTATCTTGTTCGTTGGGCTGTTGGTCACGTTTATTAATCCCGATAGAGTCGATTTCGAATTGTGACCTAATAAGACTGTTTAGGTCATCGTTCATATGATTAACAAATAAAAGTGGTTTCGATGAAACCGAATATGCGCCATGAAGTACCCACCCTAACAATGTTTTTGAGGCAACCGGTTCGTTTTTCTTCCCTACTCTCACCTCGCGGCTTAAGGATAGATTCCAATCCGCGGCGCCTATTAGAATGGTTGGAGCAGATTGATCGGTAGGTAGCGTTGCCAACCGAAAGCTCATCGGCAATGTCAGCTAAATGTTCGTAACGAGTCAAGTCTACGTCAAGAAGGCTCTACACTCGCAAACCAAGTGGAGTGATAGAGCGCGCGTACTCAATTAGATATTTGTTGCTTGTGTTACGTCCTCTAATATAGAAGTTTACGTAGTTCACGTCAACTGTCATGATCATGCCGCCTACACCCTCAATACGGACACTTTTCTTATTTCGACGTTCGGCGCCAATGCGCGTCGCCACCTCGCCATCATCGATCAGCGTCGCCGTGCTGCCTTCGTCAAGCAGCGCCGTGGTTTTGTACTCGCCGTCTGGACCCTCGACGACAACTAGGAGGATCTTCAACAAACCACGAGGACGGGACTGCCACTGGGACGAACCTATAGTAGAGACGGCAATGGTAGTCATAATCGAAGCGACACCGTTCGTATCGTCGCTGATCGCCCTTTTCAACGGTTTACTCGAAATGCCTATGGGAACATGGTCGTAAAAATAATTAAATTTTAATTGTTGGTCTGCCTCAACCAGCAGAAAACGAGACAGTAACTCAAATTTCGACATGTTTTCGTTGCTAGGCGAATGTGAAGCGGCAAAATCGGTGAAGCGAGCCCTAGTATGTTCATTGAGCTTCAGGGCCACAGAGCGAAAAAGCTCTGGTGAGTGTAGGTGATCGGTTTGATTCAATTATTTGACGGTCACAATGAAATTACGAACTTTATTAGATATAGTGTTAAGGTCGTGTGGAGTATTAATCTTAACGATACTGTGGAGATCCGCAAGCTCGCGGGCTACTAGGAGCTCGGGCCGGGCGAAGTTTTGTTTTAGGGCACGCATAACATCTTCAGGCTCGCACGCAGTCCACAGAAGGGACGCCACGGACTGGTACGCTACTCCACGAATCGCTTGATAAAGACGCTCTAAATTTTCTGTGAAAATAAACCTTTAGTACGTTCAAAACTTGGCTTAAAAGCCATCCATTGGCTAACTTCGCCAGAGAAGACCTTGAGGTCTGGTCTCTTGGGGCGAGTAGATAAGTTAGAAATGGCGTTTGCCAACTGAGAAATAGGGTCGGCACACGGTGGTCGGTGCACAGGGGCAGCGTTAGAGTTGGTCGGTTGTATCGCACGGTTGACCAGAGGGGCCGGGCACGTTCCATGAACGTGTTTGGAGGCCGCGTTGGTCACGGTTGCATTACGTACCCATGATGCCGTTTGCTTTAAACTGCTTTTGCTGGATCGACGCGACCTGTTCGAAGTTTCTAGAGTGGCGAGCTTCGCGTGAAGCTCCACCTGCTCGGCCTCGTATTCAAGCTGCGCCAAGCGCCGTTCGCGCTCGGACTCCTGCCGCGCCAGGCGGCGTTCGCGCTCGGACTCCTGCCGCACCAGGCGGCGTTCGCGCTCTACGCACAGACGCATCACTTCCGCCTCGGCTGCTAATTTAGCACGTACGGTGGCGGATGAATGGGAAGACTGCGTTCGTGCACTAATGTCGGAGCACTCGCTGCGGGCCGAAACTATGCTTCGCCGGGGTGATTTAGCGTTGCCACAATCGGATCCTTGCCGCGATGGAGGGCGTGTCGCAGACAGCGGCTGTGCTGCGAGAACGGGAGCACCCTCACCGGGAGGCGCGGTGGACGTCGTCGGCACTTCTAAATCACTCGCGGTTTTAGTTTGGCTCCGTGTTTTCACCATAATGAGCGAATTGAAAAACTAATGCGAATTAAGACAAAATGTGAAACCAAATTCGTGCAAAAAAATGAATGACTGATTGATTTTAATTCTAAGGTTTCATGTAAAAATACTGACTTTTACACTACCCAAAGTGAGTGTAGTCTCGGTCACGTTTTGGGCTGTAGTGTCAGTCTCTTTATTTTACTAATAAATATATTTTTTAATTACTTAAAGCTTTTATTTCACCGTTTTATAATAGTTTGTATCATGCACTTTCGATAAAAACGCAAATTAAATTATTACGCCAGTACAGAGGAAGATTTTTGAAGTTTAAAAACACTCTCCAAAACGAATTTCTTTTGCAAATAGTGTCAGTCACGTTTATATTTTGCTAAATAAATGCTATTTCAAAATATTTTTAGTTGCCATTTTTTCTCTATAGGATAATTGTTAAAACTGCTACAAAGCCATGTTTAATTTAAAACTAAAGACAGTACTAATGTAAGACACGACAAAACAAATGTCAAATGTAGAGTCAGTCACATATGGAATTGCCCTGATGGTAAGTAACAGGCCACCATTGCATCATATAGCCTTTATCCATCAATAAAAAAATTGATCCTATCCCATCGGCTGTACAATGTTAACAAATAAATATGGATATAAGTAAAATTAGATTATAAGTAAGTAAGTCAAGTCTCTCCCCTGATGACAAAGTGGGACCAACTACAGTCTACACGTGTACACTTGCGATAGCTTATCGAATCTGATCTACCCATTACAAATATCGCTTTTCCCATTACAGAGAGAAGGTATAAAATTAGCAAAAAATATATTTGTAATTTTTTGCAGGATAAACAAGCTAAATTCCGAAAAATACTTGAAGAGAAAGCCACCGTGAGAAAAGTGGCGATAGCGCGTCCACTTATGGATCGCGACGAACGAGATAGATTCGAGATATCACAGTCCAGGCACATCGCCGTCCTACGAGAGTGTGCCGACAAGATACAACCACCACCTATGCTCAAATCTTGGGAGAGAAAAATACATGGGTTAATTCCATCAAAATATCGACAATCTTTTCCAACACTCGTGGATGAACTGATCGATGAGAGTAAAGCTGAATGGAACCGGAATCTCCACGACCTGGCAGTTAAAACTGTTATTCGTGATATTCCTGGAGTTCCACGTAAACGTTATCAAGAACCTTATTTTAAATTCCATGGGATCACTTCTAATTATGAAAAGATGCTTAAATATAGACAGAAACTTCAAGATGGTTCTTTGTTGTTGCATCCGTTTATAAGACTCGTTCTTGAATCATCAGAGAAAACTTTTCCGTCCTGCATTATTAATTTGGGAAAGTACAGAGCTAATGGTCCAATAACCATAGAACAATTTTATAATAAAATAATGGAACAAATTAAACGTGCTGATTATTTGGTGTCTAGTACTTGGTACGCTATATTGGTACAGTGGTTGAAAAATCCCAGATGCTTGAAAGGAATGCGCTCTAAAAAGATTCCTGAGTTTGTAAGATGTGCTACTAAGATGATATCAATGCAAATACAAGAATTAATGCGCAGATCTATCGACGCCATTATAGATGCCCTGAATGATCCTGATACTGTTCCGATTCTAAATATCGACTTGGATTTTGACGGCGATTTTTTTTACGATCCGTCTCTGGAAACAGTATATAAAGTTTATCATGACATTGCGAATGCCATATCACATATATCACAAAGGCTTATGCCAATAGAACAGTATCTTAAAATAGCCTATACTCATGATGCTTTACCAGTTAACTATAATGAATGGTTATTTAAAGATGGCCACGAAAGACTACAAAAGCGACTCGATGTAGTATATGCACCGTTAATTCAATATTTAGATCGCTTGAAAAATGAATATTATATGTTATATGGCTTTCCAGCAAAAGAAGCTCTCTTAAAATTCATTGGAGAAGCAACGGAATTTGAAGAGAGCCGGGATAAAATCAAATATTTTCAAGAAATCGATTCTGAAATAACAGCTGTCTTGGAAAATGAGTATTTCAACTGCGCTGTCGTTTGTCAATTAAGGATGATAGATGGATTGAAACGCAAAGCGTTAGAGTTCATAAATGATATTATCGCTGGAATAGTAAAAAGCCATATGGATGAAAATCATAGCATATGCACCGAGTTTGAAACAATAGCAGCTACAGCCTTAAAGGAACCTGAAAATGCAGCTGAACTTGTTGAACAGGGCATTTATATTTTACATGCAAAAACGGTTTTAGTTGAAACACTTAAAGAAAGAATACTAAGGCAGATCGAAATAATTTCTAACCTTCTAGAAATGACATCGCTCACACCAGAGCATGTTGCATCAAATACACGCACTGTAAATTGGTTGAAGGACATAAAACCAATCTTTGAAAAGAATGCAGCTGCTTATGAAACTTTTAAAGCCGAGATGGAAGAAAATTTGTTAGCTAAAATTGCTTATCTCAATAAAGAAGTAGTTGAAATGACACCTTATCTTGAACTTCTGGATAACATGGATGATATAAACCACACTCATGAATATCTAGAATATTTACGGAAGCTGGTCCATCGTTTGGCAGATTGTGATAAATTAGTTTTATGGATAAATAACGAAGAGGCTACTTTTAAATTTCCTCTTACGAGCTATGTAGATTTGGAAGAGTTAAAAGATTATATCATACCATTTTACTGTCTCATACATTTAGTCCATCGATGGAAGCGGAGTTATTATACATGGATGGACGGAGTGTTTGAATATTTAGATCATAATCAAATTGAACAAGACCACGATTTTTATTACAAAGAATTTTTAAAATTATCAAAAAGCTATAAAAATAAAATTAAGCAACAAATTGCTGAAGGAGTCGAAAAAAGATTCCAAGGATTAGTAGACGATCCTGACGTGAATAATTTGCCTGCTCCGATGAAGCTGTGTGCTCAAGCCATTGCTGAAATAAAAGAATGGCGACCTAATGTCCAAATGGGACATATCATGTGTAATCCAGCATTAGTACAGCGACATTGGGATGAAATGTCAGGAATAGCAGGCTTTGACTTAACACCGACGGCAGGTACGACACTGAGGAAAATAATTGAATTCAATTTGTGGGATCAAATTGATGAATACGAAATTATCAGTGTAGCAGCTACAAAAGAATTAGCCCTGATAACTAATCTAAATAAAATGATAGCTGAATGGACAGATATTTGTTTTAAAACAAGTCCTTATAAGGATACTGGAATTGGTATTCTTTCGGCACTAGATGATATACAAAGCGTTTTAGATGATCATATAGTTAAAACAGTTGGGATGCGGGGTTCTGCATTTGTTAAACCGTTTGAAGCACAAGTAAGGGGTTGGTATGATAAAATCGTAAGGGTTAATGCTACAATAGATGAATGGGGAAAAGTACAGAGTCAGTGGTTATATTTGTTACCCATATTTTCGTCTAAAGACATAGTTGCTCAAATGCCAGAAGAAGGAGTTATGTTTGTAGAAGTTAATAATATTTACCGCCGATATATGGGCTCAGTAGATAAAGACCCACATGCCCTTGAATTAGCATCTGGTATAGGAGTCCTGGAATCTTTTAAAATTGCTTCCGCAATGTTGGAAAAAATAAATGACGGAGTTAACAACTACTTAGAAAAAAAAAGATTATATTTTTCTAGATTCTTTTTTTTGTCAAACGATGAAATGCTGGAAATATTATCGGAAACTAAAAATCCTTTAAAGGTACAGCCCCACTTGAAAAAATGTTTTGAAGGGATTAACCGATTGGTCTTTGATGAGGAATTTAATATTTCTGCAATGATTTCTATGGAAGGGGAACAAATCGAATACTTAGAAACAATTAGCGTTGCTGCTGCGCGAGGCTCAGTAGAAAAGTGGTTAGTTCAGGTAGAAGATCAAATGCTTAAAGCTGTCCGATCTGAAACAGAATTATCTTATTACGAATACCCTAATTTGGGTAGAGCTGAGTGGATATTATCTTGGGAAGGGATGGTGGTTTTGGCTATATCACAAATTTACTGGGCTGTTGATATTCATGAAGCATTGAATACACACAAATTAAGTGAATTACAAGCGTTTCATATGAGTTTGACAAAACAACTGAACGAGACGGTTGCAATTATACGACGTACAGATCTAAGTAAACTTAGTAGTATTACTGTGAAAGCTTTAATTGTAATTGATGTCCACGCCAAAGATGTGATTTGGGACCTAATTGGTAAAAATGTTACAGAAGTTACAGATTTCCAATGGTTAGCTCAGTTGAGATATTACTGGGAGGAAGAAAGAGTTCTAGTTAAAATTATTAATGCCGTTGTAAATTACGCATATGAGTATTTAGGAAACTCTGATCGATTAGTGATAACTCCCTTGACTGATCGATGTTATCGTACTTTAATAGGCGCATATTATCTTCACTTAAATGGTGCCCCGGAAGGACCGGCTGGAACAGGTAAAACAGAAACTACTAAAGACCTGGCAAAGGCTCTTGCTGTGCAATGTGTGGTATTCAACTGTTCAGATGGCTTAGACTATAAGGCTATGGGTAAATTTTTTAAAGGACTAGCTTCTTGTGGTGCTTGGGTTTGCTTTGATGAATTTAATCGAATTGAAGTTGAGGTATTGTCTGTTATAGCTCAACAAATATTATGTATAGTACAAGCAGTAAGACAGAAGGTGGAAACTTTTGATTTTGAAGGAACCACTTTGAAGTTAAATCCTGCTTGTTATGTATGCATAACTATGAATCCTGGATATGCAGGTAGGTCTGAGTTACCTGATAACTTAAAAGTATTGTTTCGTACTGTTGCGATGATGGTACCAGATTATGCTATGATCGGGGAAATTTCTTTGTACTCATTTGGTTTCATGGATGCTAGAAACTTGTCTGTCAAAATCGTGACAACATATCGCCTTTGTTCAGAACAGTTATCTTCCCAAAATCATTATGATTATGGAATGAGGGCAGTGAAAACAGTTCTATCGGCAGCTGGTAATTTAAAAAGAGCCTTTCCTGTTGAAAACGAAAGTATTTTGCTTCTTAGGTCTATCACTGATGTCAATTTACCCAAATTTTTATCTTTTGATGTACCTTTGTTTGAGGGTATTATCTCTGATTTATTCCCAGGAATAGCTTTACCCAAGCCAGATTATGTAAATTTCCTGAATGCTTGTAATGACTCTTGTAGAACAAATAATCTACAACCAATGGAATGTTTTCTTATTAAAGTTATTCAAACATATGAGATGATGATAGTAAGACATGGATTTATGTTAGTGGGTGATCCATTTTCTGCAAAATCCATGACTTTAAAAATTTTATCTGAAGCTCTGACTTTGATGGAAGAAAGAAATCAACCTGGTGGCTGTCGTTGTACTTATAAAGTACTGAATCCAAAAGCAGTCACTATGGGACAATTATATGGAGCATTCGATCCTATATCTTACGAGTGGACCGATGGTATTGTTGCTACTATGTTTAGAGATTTTGCTTCAGAAGATACTCCTGTTAGGAAATGGATAGTGTTTGATGGACCCGTTGATGCTGTATGGATAGAGAACATGAATACTGTTTTAGATGACAACAAAAAACTTTGCTTGACATCAGGTGAAGTGATGGCTATGTCAAACGTGATGTCTATGCTTTTCGAAGTTATGGATCTCTCGCAGGCATCTCCTGCTACAGTATCTAGATGTGGTATGATTTACATGGAATCAGCTTCGTTTGGATTTATGCCATTCTATAATTCATGGCTGAAAAATTTAAATCCTATATGGCTTGAGGAAAATGAAGAATATATTTTTAATGTATGTGCGTGGTTATTTGATCCTTTGGTATATTATATAAGACGGTCATGCATACAATTGGTTACAGCTGGAGAAGTAAATTTAGTGATGAGTACACTTAACTTGGTAGAAATGTTAATGGACAATGCCATAGAAGGTGAAGAAGATACAAAGTATACCAGAACTTGGTTTCTGGCATCATTTATGACTGCTCTAATATGGGGATTAGGAGGGATATTAAATACAGATTCAAGAGAAAAATATGATGATTTGGTGAAAGAATATTTCAGAGGAGAAAAAGGGATCCCACCTGAGATAGATCGCTTAGACGTGTCAATTCCAAGTGAAGGTATGCTTGTGGATCATTACTATATGTATAAAGGCAAGGGTTGTTGGAAACTATGGCCTGAAGCCGTTAAAGCTGTCCAAGTAAAAGAACAGATCAATCTTTTACAAACTGTTATCCCGACCCTAGAGACAGAAAAATATATATTTCTGTTAAAACTTCATACGAAATTTACGAAACCTTTGCTTCTCATAGGACCTACGGGAACAGGGAAAAGCTTCTATGTTCAGAACTTTTTGATGAATTATCTTGACATGGATAAATATACCCCAGGATTTATTACTTTTACGACGACTACTTCTGCAAATCAAACTCAGGAACTCGTCATATCCAAATTAGTTAAACGAAGAAAAAATAATTACGGTCCCACTAGAGGTAAACAAGCTATAATTTTTATCGACGATATGAACATGCCTGCTAAAGAAGTATACGGCGCACAACCAGCTATCGAACTATTGAGGTTATTCTTAGACCAAAAGCACTGGTATGATCTGAAAACCACTGAAAAATTATACATTTATGACACTATTTTTTATGGAGCCATTGGTCCGGTGGGTGGAAGTCGACAGCTAATATACCCGAGAATGTTGCGCCATTTCAATATTTACTCAATCAATGAATTTTCAAAGGAAAGCATGACTAAAATATTTACCTCTTTATTGCAACTCGGTTGGAGAAGAAATGGTTTTGGCCAAGATACACAAGTATACATTGTTAATATCGTTGCAGCGACTATGGAAATATATGATCAAGCGACAGAAGGTCTCAGGCCGACGCCTGCGAAGTCACATTACATTTTTAATTTAAGAGATTTTTCTAGAGTCATCCAAGGATGCGCTTTACTACGAAAGGAATCAGCTGATAATAAAAAAACATTTGCAAGAGTTTGGGTACATGAAATCATGCGAGTATTTTACGATAGATTAGTAGATGACAAAGACCGTGCTTGGTTTTTTGATATTTTAAAAAAATGTACGAGAGATGTTATGAAAGAGACGTTTGAATCAGCTTTGGAACCGTATTTAGAAGAAAATGGAGAAGTGACTATTGAGAGTATAAAGAAAATGATGTTTGGTTGCTACTTAGATACTGAAAGTCTCGAAGGTGAGAGAAAATATGAAGAAATCCCTAATAAGGAAGTTTTTTTAAATGTTGCAATCGCTATGTTAGCTGAATATAATAGTATGCATAAAGCTAAAATGAATATTGTGTTATTTGACTACGCTTTAGAACATTTGTCAAAAATCTGTCGGCTTTTATCTATGCCTTCGGGTAACGCTTTGTTAGTCGGAGTCGGTGGTTCCGGACGACAATCATTAACTAGATTAGCAAGCACTATTTTAGGACAACCAGTATTTCAGCCTGAAATCACTAAATCCTATAATGTAAAAGATTGGCATGACGACATCAAATTAGTACTGCGTGAATCGGGGGGTTTAAATAAAGATACTACTTTTCTATTTACAGAAAGTCAAATTAAAGAAGAAACTTTTATTCAAAACCTTGACAGTTTATTAAATTCCGGTGAAGTTCCGAACTTGTATGGTTTAGATGAAAAACAAGAAATTCTTGAACTTGTGAGACTCGCTGCTCAAGGAGGAAACAGAAATCTTGACATAAGCCCTCTTCAAATTCTAGCATTTTTTGTTGGAAGATGTAAAGCCAAACTACATATAGTCTTATGTTTTAGTCCTATAGGAAGTGCATTTCGGACAAGACTTAGATTATACCCTTCATTAGTTAATTGTTGCACTATTGACTGGTATGATAGCTGGCCTGAAGATGCCTTAGAAATGGTAGCTCATCATTATATGGTGAAAGTTAATGTTCCCGATAAGGTGAAGTCATCTGCAGTTATAGCGTGTAAACAATTCCATGTCGATGCACGACATGTATCACAAGAATTTTATAATCAATTTGGCAGAAAAACATATATTACTTCCGCTTCCTACTTGGATTTGATTAAATCATTTACAACTTTAACAAATAAGAAACAAAGAGAGTTAAGGGCAGCTAAACTACGATATACTAACGGTTTGGATAAGCTTGGGCAAGCGGCGGATGCGGTATCAATAATGCAACGTGATTTGAATGCTTTAAAACCACAACTTATCGTGATGGCCGCAAAGTCAGCAAAGATGATGGAAGAGATAGAAAAGGAAACTAATATTGCTGACAAAGCTGCAGCACAAGTGAGAGAGGATCAAAAGATTGCTAATGTACAAGCCGCTGCTGCACAAGAACTAAAAAAAGATTGTGAGGCTGATTTAGCGCTTGCTTTGCCTATATTGGAAGATGCTATTGCAGCCTTGAACACTTTAAAACCTGCAGATATTACTATTGTCAAATCAATGAAAAATCCACCAGCTACAGTTAAATTAGTAATGGCAGCTGTTTGTGTTATGAAAGGGATTCCACCAGATAAAATACCAGATCCAGATAATCCAGGTAAAAAAATGTTTGACTATTGGGGACCAAGTAAAAGAATTCTTGGGGATATGAGTTTTTTAGAGTCACTGAAAAATTATGATAAAGACAATATACCTGTAGCAACCATGCAAAAAATAAGAAAAGAATATTTATCCAATAAAGATTTTAAGCCTCACATCATAGCTAAAGCGTCAACAGCAGCTGAAGGTTTATGCAAATGGATAATTGCTATGGATATGTATGATGCAGTAGCGAAAGTTGTAGCTCCAAAAAAAGCCAAATTGGAAGCTGCTGAAAAAGAATTTGCAGAAACGATGGCAATATTAGAAGAAAAAAAAGCGACTGTGGCTCGCTTAGAAGCAAAATTAGCAGAGCTTAACGAGGCTTTAGAAGAAGCTAATATTAAAAAAAAAGCACTTGAAGATGAAGTTCAGTTATGTATAGATAAGTTATATAGAGCAGAAAAATTAATTGGTGGTTTAGGAGGAGAAAAGGTACGTTGGACTTTAGCTGCTGAAAATTTACAAACACTATTTGATAATTTAGCAGGAGACATTTTAGTTTCATGCGGCATAATAGCATATTTAGCGCCTTATACTTTGCCGGTTAGAGTAAAGATTATAGATAAATGGCGTGATCTGGTAATTAAATTGGCTATGCCACATTCAGAACAATTTGTATTTAAAGATATTTTAGGAACTGATATAAAGATCCAAAATTGGTGTATAGCGGGTTTACCGCGAGATTCATTTTCTATTGATAACGGCATTATCCAAGATAACTCTATGAGATGGTCCTTATTAGTTGATCCACAAGGACAAGCAAATAAATGGATAAAGACAATGGAAAAGGCAAATGACCTTCAAATTTTAAAATTCACAGATGGCAACTATATGAAAGTAATAGAAACATGTTTAGAATACGGTAAACCAGCTTTGATCGACTGTATTTTAGAAGACGTGGAAGCTCCTTTGGATCCTGTTTTACTCAAACACACATATATGCAAGGCGGAAAAGAGTTTATTGCATTAGGAGAAAATGTAATTGAATATCATCCAAATTTTCGACTGTATATGACAACCAAATTACGAAACCCGCATTATTTACCTGAAATTTTCAACAAAGTTACCTTAATTAACTTTGCTCTTACTAAAGATGGCCTGGAAGATCAACTTCTGGGAATTGTAGTTGCAAAAGAAAGACCAGACTTACAAGAAAAAAGGGAAAAATTAATTGTCCAAGGAGCAGCGAATCGGGCTGCTCTTAAACAAGTAGAAGATGATATTTTACGTACTCTACAAGAAACTAAAGGAGATATTTTAGAGGATGAATCAGCAATTGAAGTCTTGGATTCCTCAAAACTATTATCAATCGACATAATGAAAAAGCAGGAAGCTAGCTTAGAAACCGAGATTATTATAGAAAAATTTCGATTAGGGTATAGACCCATTGCCTCCCATTCAGCTGTGTTATATTATTGCGTCACGGAATTACCAAATGTGGATCCTATGTACCAATATTCCTTAATTTGGTTTATTAACTTATATGTTATTTCAATTGAAAACGCGAACAAATCCAAAGATCTTGATAAAAGATTAAAATTTTTAAAAGATACTTTTACTTATAATTTGTATAGCAATGTATGCAGATCTCTTTTTGATAAAGATAAACTTATGTTTTCGTTCATAATGTGCTCTAAGATGATGTTATCTACTGGAGAAATGAATCACGATGAATATTCGTTTTTAATAACTGGTGGTATTGCTATTGAAAATCCTTTGAAGAAACCACAAGATTGGATACCTGATAAAGCGTGGGATGAAATATGTCGTTTGTCTGATCTACCTGCTTTTAAGGGTTTTAAGGAAAATTTTGTTGGCATTATTAATACATGGAAAGAAGTGTATGATGATTTAGAACCTCACCATAAACCATTACCTGGTGGGTGGGAAAATAAAGTAACCCAATTTCAGAAATTACTTATCATAAGAGTACTTAGGCCAGACAAGCTAACTATAGCAATATCCGATTTCGTTGAAAAGCAATTGGGTCGGAAATACATAACTCCCCCACCGTTTGATATAGGAAAATCATTTGGCGATTCTAACTGCCTTGCACCTTTGATATTTATATTATCACCTGGATCAGATCCAATGGGAGCCTTGATAAAATATTGTGAAAGAATGGGATACTCGCATCGTTTCAATTCAATTTCACTAGGCCAAGGTCAAGGTCCAATAGCTAGGGCAATGATCGAGAAAGCTCAATTAGAAGGTGGATGGGTTTGTTTACAAAATTGTCATTTAGCTGTCTCATGGCTGCCTGTTCTAGAAAAAATCGTAGAAGGGTTTGATTTAACTAATACAGATTTGAGTTTTCGATTGTGGCTCACCAGTTATCCATCTGATAAGTTTCCACAGTCGGTTCTTCAAGTAGGTGTAAAAATGACCAATGAGCCACCTACGGGACTACAACATAACCTTTTTAGGTCTTACAACTCGGAACCTTTAAAAGAGTCTGAGTTTTTCGAGGGATGCCCTGGTAAAGACAAACCTTTTAGTAAGTTATTATATGGTATTAGTTTCTTCCATGCCGTTGTTCAAGAAAGAAAGAAATTCGGTCCATTAGGATGGAATATCCAATATGGTTTTAATGATTCGGATTTCCAAATATCAATAATGCAATTGCAAATGTTTTTGAATCAATATGAAGATATTCAATATGTAGCAATCAAATATTTAACGGGAGAGTGTAATTATGGCGGTCGAGTAACGGATGATTGGGATCGAAGATTAATTGTTACTATCTTGGATAAATATGTAAACCCAGGAGTTGTAAATGATCCTAATTATTTATTTTGTGATATAGGATCACAATATGGACTTCCTCGTCGATGTGAATATCAAGATTATCTGAAGCACATTGAATTAGTTCCTGTAAATCCACCCCCAGAAGTATTTGGCCTTCACATGAATGCAGGCATAACTCGCGATTACACTATTTCAATGGCTTTGACAGCAGCTTTGGTACATGTTGAAGGTGCAGGAGGTGGCGGTGAAGGTGGAAATACAGAACATATTCTTATGCAAATGTCCTCTGAAATATTGTCCAAGTTGCCGGAGAGCTATGACATTGAAATTGCACAAAAAAACTATCCAGTGGATTATAATGAATCAATGAATACAGTACTTATTCAGGAAATGCAACGATTCAATAAGTTGCTTAAAGAAATTCGAACATCTTTGTTAGATTTGCAAAAAGCAGTAAAAGGTCTTATCGTTATGTCACCAGCTCTGGATAATCAAGCGAATGCTATGTTGCTTGGGAGGATACCCGAAAATTGGTGTAAAGTATCTTATCCAAGCTTGAAACCGTTGCCTAGCTATGTATCCGACTTTATCGAACGTTTGGCGATGCTGCAAGATTGGTACCAAAACGGTAAACCCACTACGTTTTGGTTGTCTGGTTTCTTTTTCACGCAGGCTTTTCTTACAGGTTCTGTTCAAAATTACGCCAGATCTAAAAAGATTCCTATAGACTTGTTAGTGTTTGACTTTGAGGTGCGGAAAACAGATTATGAACTAGTGGCTCCTGAATCAGGAGTCTATGTTATAGGTCTTTTTATGGATGGTGGTCGTTGGAATCGAAATAAATCCACAATAGATGAACAACTGCCTAAAATATTGAATGACAACATGCCTGTTATTTGGCTATATCCAAAGCTAAAGTCTGAATTCCAAGAAGGTTTAAGATACAAGTGTCCCCTATACAAAACACTGGAAAGAAAAGGTGTATTAGCTACTACAGGTCATTCTTCTAATTTTGTTTTAGCCTTTTTTCTGCCGTCTGATAAACCATCTGCACATTGGATCAAAAGAAGCGTTGCTTTATTACTGCAACTTGACAATTAGAAATTGTGAAAAGTTATGACGCTTTAGCATGGGCGCCCGCCACCTCCACGTGCGAGAGAATATAGGCGATATTTTGCTCGTTCATCTCGTAAAGATTGCCCGTCGATAGAAGCGCTCCCTTGTACTGTTTTAATGCTGTAGAAGGTAGTCCCATATTGTAACGAACTTAATTAAATAAGTTCCATATTATTTTTACTGAAGATATTGGATTAACATAATTCTAAATAAAACGGGTAAAACTATTTACCTAAGATGTAGTACTATGTATTTCTACATCTTTGTTGTCTTCTATTCGAATATAAGTACTTATCTATTGAACTTGCTTGCTTGCTACAAGAGGTCAGAATTGTAAACATAGAGACCCTAATGCATTAATTTTGCACTTTAATTGATTTGCAGTTTTAATCGCAAATATAATTTAACTTTGAGAATTAAATTATCTAATAACTACTAAAACATTTTGTTAAACTCAAGTGAGTTTATTAGTTAGATAACTATCCAACTCACTCAAGACAACAACTACGTTCTTAAAATAGTCACCAAGTGTCCACTTTTTCATTGTACAAAAAGTGAATAACTGTGTACTTATCTGAAGGCTGATTTTCACTTCGGTAAGTAGGCTATGCTCAAGAAGTTTACCGCTACCCCGCTACCTATACATACTGCTTATCTCTTTGCGATTTCTAAACTCGCTACTGTAGTTACCGAAGTGCAAATCAGCCTTAATGGAAAATATTAGTAAAGATCGTCATATATCGGATGTTGAGTACGCTCTTTCAAATTAAATATTTGTAATTTAAATACTTTACGATTTCCTATGTTATGTAAGTTATTATGTTTATTTTATTTAATTATAGTTAATAAATCACACATTTATGTAAAGAAACTGTTTTATTGGATCTTATACCGTCCTAAAAGTGTTTTATTTAGTGGCAAAAACTTATATTTTGCTCTCCGGTCTTAATGGTAACACGAATACTACTAAGAGTACGAAATTACTAAAATAATTCTATTTATTTCTCAGAATTCCTCTTCCTCATTAATTCTTTTCTGAGATTCTCCGTCTCTACCAGCTTTCGTCGAAGTTTCAGCATGATCGCATTGTTTCTTTTCTGAAACAATACACTCAATCATACAAAAATAAGAATTCATTCTCTATATTTTTATAGAATCCTCTATACTTTACTTACACACATGCTTTAAATCCTTAAAGCATGTGTGTAAGTAAATAACAAAATATTATCTACAAGTGATTTCCAGAAAAAATTCTGTAAAGATGTGAACTATTTAAGAGTCAGCAGAGAAGGTGTGACCGTGTGACAATGAATGGCCATACATTTCATGTTATTTTGTTTAGTTTGCTACAGGTAAGTCTAGCATATTATAATTTTCCTTGTATTTGATGTTATACATATTAATGAAATTAAAGATTAACCTCACTTTAAGTATTATGCATTCACGTTCGATGCTGTCGGCTTCTTTTTCTACTCTCAAAGATTCTCTCAGGAGTTGTTCGTTTTTAGCTATTTCATTATCTTTTTCTATTTTCTTAATCCGTTCTTTTTCTTCGTTTTGCTCCAGTTCTCTCTTGCAAATTTGAGAGAGATTATTTACTACAACAAATGAAAAGAAAACATAAATATATTGTCTCAAACGCTCTCGAAAACGGAACCGCGAAAGTGCTAGAGATCGAATGTGCCAGAGCACCGCGGGTCGCGATAGAGGTCAAGTAATGCAGCTCATTTTAAAATGAGCCTTATGCAATGCGGCGTAAGGGAGAAAGTGCAACGATATCTGCACTTGTTTACAAGTTCTATGCGTTACTTGCGTAGGTATAAGTAGGTAGGGTTGCAACGATATATCGGAATATCGATAATATCGAGACCAAAATATCGATATTTATATCGATATTTCGTAGACTAAATTTGAACACAATAATAATTTACCTGCCATGACTATCTAAATTGAATAATATCGAAATAACTATTGCTTTGAAATCGCAAGAGCTTATAAACGTATTAAAAAAATCTTGAACCCCAAGAAATATACTAAACTGGTGTGGATTCTGTCATGATTCTCTAAACCTAAAATTAAATTTGACAAGTGTGTCCTTGTCATTCTCTATACAGAATGAAACGGAGATACTGATGTTGAATTTAGTTTTAAGTTTATGTACGATCAAATCGTACATTTTGCAAGCAAAGCATTTTTAACCGCAAGTAATTGTTTAGGTCAATATTTTACCGATTAAATACATTTCATAATCACGCCCAAGTTAGTTCGCGTTTGTCTCAAGCAGTGTGCACACAGTTACATCAAGTTTAATAATAAATATTTTCGTCAAGTTTATCAAGTGTATTCCTGTCTTCAATATCAAGAAATAGCAATTCAATGTACTGAGTTGACAAGGGCTCGTACATTAGTGGTCCTTCGAGAGGTTTTCAGTGTTTTTTCGTTTTTTCGTGTGGTTGCGAATCGGCTCGTCGGCCTCCCACAAGCGGGTCTCACCGACCGAGTTGAGAAGGCGCATAAGATCACGCGGAGTCTGAGGAAATACTGAAGAACAAGAACAAGCGAGTCAAAACCATTATTATTATCGGCAAGAATTTTCCTTCATCAAGACGAAGGCTGAATACTTTTTCACTGACGAGTGAAACCAATACAACAAGCATTCAAGCATAATATCAAGTAGGTACCTATATATATTGTTTTTTATTATCAAGAAGAATATTCGAGCAAGAAATCGACAAACGTAAGAACTCATTCAAATCAAGACACTATCAAGACAGGAAATTATCAAGTTTTCAAGATGGAAAGTTTAATTGAGAAGCAGAATATTATCTAAGTAACTCGTTAGTTACTCCGTGATCATGGCGCTTGCAACAGTGCCGAAATATCGGAGACTCATAAAAAACAAGGTACATGGTAACAATCCCGTTAATATCTATAATGTTAGTGACCATGAAAGTTTAAAACAAAAGAATATTATCATGTCTACTATACAACAACTTTGGACTAATTTCAAGAAAGATAGCAAGATACGTAAAACGCCTGTGTATATCAAGAATAAGCTAGAACTTCTAGAATCGAACTGGACTGAGTTTTCGGAAAATCATGCACTGATTCTAAGTTTCAACGACAGCAATGATGAATACTTCCTTCAAGATCACTATGGAGAGACGAAAAAATTTTGTGAAGAAATACGAAAATCTCTAAAAAGTTTTATTCCAAATGAAGAACAGTTTGGGGCAAGTACTAGCAAGGAAGACCTGAAAGAAATTTGGCACGAGCAAATTGATCAAGATAGTTCATCAGGATCCAGAAACAAGAGTGAAAAAGTAGAACTGCTTCTCAGGAAACAATTAACCAATTTCAAAGCTTTTTCACGCACTTTATCTCATATTGAAATTGATAATATTAAAGAGAAGTGGGAGTTCGAAGATGTGTTGAAAAATATTGAGATGAGATGGCTGGCGATCGACAAACTTCATTGGGATATCGACAGTGAACTGGGTGACGGAAAAAATGACAAATATTATGATAATTTCTTTACCCAACATGAGGCCGATTATATTCGCATCAAGAAAGAGATTAATAGCAAATTATGGGCGGTATTCCATCGAGAGAAATCTACACCCAAACTTGATATTCCGGAATTCAATGGAAATTACCAACAATGGGTGTCGTTCAAGGACTTATTTTCGGAAGCAATACACGACAACCCATGCTTATCTAATTCTCAAAAAATGCAGTTTCTCAAAAGCAAGATAAAAGGGGAACCAGAACGCTTAATACAGCACCTGACTATCAGCTCTGATAATTATATAGCGTGTTGGGATATACTGAACCACCGTTATAATAACAAAAAGCTAATTTTCACTACGCATATGAATACTTTATTGACACTTCCAGTGATGCAACAAGCCACAACAAGTCTAATTAAACGCATTCACGACGTAACCCAAGAATGTCTCAACGGTATTAAGAACTTAGGGGTTGATATAACCACCTGGGATCCCATCTTAGTACACCTACTGGCACAGAAACTAGACGCCGAGACCCATAATGATTATTTGGAATCATTGACCTTACCACGGGAATTACCATCATTAAAAGAGTTTTTGGGGTTCCTTGAAGGCAAGTTTACAGCTTTAGAAGCATCAAGACGCAAGCAAGATAACGCAATACAGAGGTCCAGTTACAGTATACCAACAACATCTGGAAATAGCCGTCCCTACAGACCGCAACAACAAGCCAAGAATTATTATTTAAACAACAAAACAACAACCAACGCGTGGTCTCAAGGAAACAAGATCCAATGCCCTATATGCAAAGGTGATCACGGGATATACTTCTGTCAACAGTTCCTGGATATGTCGCCTGCATCGAAAATAAATACAATTGGGAAACTAAAACTTTGTACCAATTGTCTCTACAAACACGAAGAAAAAAGTTGCAACTCCAACAAAAGATGTAAAACGTGCAATGGATGTCACAATACACTCCTTCACAACGCATTTACAAGTCAAGTGTCAGCAAGAACCCAATTTACGCCAAAGGAGCAAGCTCAGCGAACAAGCGCGACTCACGTGGCTCAACAACGTGAAAGGTCGGAAGTCTTACTCGCCACGGCCAAGATTAGAGTTCAAGGATCAGATGGAATATTCAGGATCATGCGTGCTCTTATTAACCAGGGATCTCAAGTTTCCCTAATAACAGAACATGCTGCACAAACTCTAAAATTACATCGCTTCAAATACAGTGGAGTTATAACAGGAATTGGCACTAAAGACAACGTCTGTAAAGGAATGGCAAAAATCAATTGCACGTCCTTAAGGGGAGGACATACCTTCAACTTAGATGTTTATATAATGAAAAACTTAACAAGAAATCTACCTACCTGTTCATTCCCGAAACCATCATGGCAAATTATAGAAAACCTAGAACTCGCTGATCCAGAATTTTACATAAGCCAACAAATCGATTTATTACTGGGAGCC